TGACTCTGGTTTGACAAGTGGGGAACATGCTTAAGACCCAACTAGACTTCCTTAACAAGGGTGACAATGGTACATGTGGGACATATATGAGATCACTGTCAGTTTTTTCCAAGATCTAACTCACACTGACTTAGTGGAGCCCATTCTATATGGAGAGATATCTTGCTCAGGCTAGACACAGGGGTGTGGGTAATAGGGAGGTGTCTTGGTCCTGACTCAGTGAGATGACTTAGTAGACTTCTTAGGGGAGGACTTATCTTCTCTGGTGAGCAGATGGGAGTTGAGGTAGGGGGAAGAGGGAGAATGGGAGAAGAGGAAGAAGGGGGAACTGGTTTTAGAATGTAAAAAATAAATTAATAAAAAATGTTTAAAAATCCAGGCAAAGGTGGTGCATACCTGTAATCCCAGCACTTGGGAGGTAGAGGCAGGCAGATCTCTTTGAGTTTGAGGACAGCCCGATCTACACAAAGAAACCGTGTCTCAAAAAATAGAAAAAAGTTTGAAAAAATATTACTGGAAGATGTATCATAGTCTATTTGAATTGGAATTCAGTAGATGAAAGAGAAGTATCAGTCCTTAAGCAAGGCTGAGATTTTCAGCACCACCAAGACCACCACGACCACCACCACCACCCCCCCGCGCGTGTGCGCGCGCGCGTGGGCGCGTGCACACACACACACACACACACACACACACACACACACACACACAGACACACACATTCCCAGCACTGAGGGAGACTGGGGAACAAACATGAGTCATTTTAGACTAAAAAACAGTAATAAAAAAGTGAAAATGAAAATATTAAATCACTCAGTCAATTAGACAACAACTAGATTATTGTTTGGCTTTTCTCAGATGAGAACATAATAAATCCCTAGCTCTAAAATCCAGGAGAAAATAAACTACAATATTAAGGTAAGACAGGACCACTGACTTCCTTAGTGTAATGAATCTCATCCACAGGTGGGAGGACATGTTGGAGATCTAGGTCAATAGAGGGAGTCTGTCTGGGATACTTCTTAACTGAACTGTTCTATGTATCTGCCTCCCTGACACATAGGCCTGTCTGGTCCTCCAGATTCCATTGGTTCCTTGGATCAATCTTCTCTGCATCACTGGTCCTCATGGCTCCATCAGCTGACTGCATCCATCTCCATTTCATGACTGGTCCTCCTGGCTCCATCAGGTGCCTGCATCTATCTCCACTTCATGGCTGGTCCTCCTGGCTCCATCAGCTGCCTGCATCCATCTCCTCTGTATGGCTGGTCCTACTGGCTCCAGCAGCTCCCGGGATCCATCTTCTCTGCACATGATGTCCAGGATAGGCCCTCTGGCTCCATCAATGTCTGGGCGATGCTCTTTATTCACAAAACAGTACCCATGATGCTTTGGTCTTCTTGCCTTGGCCCATAATTTTCCTTCCTCCCTTCTTTCTGTCTGCGACTCCTCCCTTCTTTCCTCCCTTCCTTTTTTCCTTTCTGTAGCATGATTAATAAAAGACCTAGAGACTGAATTGGGGTTCAAGTTTCAAGCTGAAAATCATAAAAGCAAAGCATCTGAACACTAGCTCTAACTGTACTTCAGAATGAAAGGCTGTACTGGCTCCACCAACCCTCAGCCTATTACCTCTCCTCAGTGTGTCTAGAGAATCCTAAGACTTCAATGTCTCCCCATCCTCAATGTGACTGGAGAATGAATCCCTGGAACTCTACTAGAGACCCTGCTCTTATCGTTTATACATGTCTAGTGCTGGGTTTAAAGGCATGTGATTCCAGGACATGAGATCATCTTTGTGTCAGCTGTTTCTCTTTAGGACTGGATCAACCTTGTGTAGATATGGTGGCCTCGAACTCACAGAGATCTGTCTACCTCTTAATCTTGAGTCCTGTGATGAAAGGTCTATGCCTGACTTCTATGGCTTGTGTCTGACTTTGCTTTCTGAATCGTCAGTCAAGCTTTAATAAATCATAAATAATATATCACCACATCTTTCTTTATTCTTTTTTTGTGTGACAGTTTCAGAAATTATATAATAAATTTATATTTTACTGCCACTGCCCTCTCTCACATTTCTCCCTCTCTTGTTCAAACCACTATCCCTTTCTACTTTCATGTCTTCTGTAATGTATAACTTGCTGAGTCTAGTTAGAGTTTCTTCCTAAAGGGTGTGTGGGATGTCATTTACTGGGAAAAGGGTAATTTGTCAAGGGATGCACTACTAAAGAAAATGCCACCCATTTGTGAGCAATCATTAACAGACAATTGTTCCTCTGGTGGCAGTAGGCCTGGGGGATTCATGTCATTCATGATGAATGTTGACAAGACCAGTCTTGTGCAGGTCTTTTGTGGTTCACATTTGCTCTGTCATTTCCAAAACAGTTTGTTGTTGCTGCTGCCCTTCTCCACGGTATCAGCTATTAAATACTTCCTACCTTCTTTTAAAATGTTTTTGAATCTCAGAGGTTTTAGATAATCATACTATTTAGGATACAATTCTATACCAGCACTGATTTTTGACATTTTTGAGTGATTGACTGCTGCATCAATCAACACTCATTGGTTTCCTTTTGTACTATCTGTATATTGTGATCCAAATGAATCTCTCTTCCCTTTCAGCTGCTTTGACCATGGGGTTTGTGAAAACAGTGAGAAAAATAAGAAACAAACTTACTGTCCTTTAACCAACCAACTCCTATGTCAAGATGATATCAAAAAACAGTCTCAGACACCTTCTACTATGAAGTAACAAAGTCAAGTTGTCAGACATGGCCCTGGAAGGAAGAAAGAAATCCTATTTAATCATGAAATACAAGACTAGTGGTTCTTGGCGGCATTTGAGGACACTGTCATTCATGTTTTCTAGTGTTCAGATGAGTTATTTAATTTAAATGGATGTATTTCTTCTAAAAGCCACTTTAGAACAAACATACAAGGATTAAATTGAATAGGAAACACGATTATGTCAGTGCACCTCACGTGGTAATTAATACCTGGTGGTCTGCATCCAGCACACCACCATACCTGTCTTGCCCCTCCACCCTCCAGGAGAGAGTTGCCTGGGGACTCTTCCAGCCCACCTACCAATCTTTGAGTTCCCTGACCTGCACCTGCCAGATACTTCCTGCCACCGAAACCCCAGAGGGACCTGGAGGCAGAACAAAACATCCAGCATCAGCTGCCATTCCTGTCTTGTCCCTGCCTCTTATAAGACAATGGAGAAAGCATGGAACCCATACCCACCCAGAGATGGAGAAACCCCACTTGGACCCACTGGAGAAGAGATAGGAAGATGACAGACAATATAAGAACATATTCAACAACAGAAAGACTTAAATGTCACCACCAGTGTCTATGGATTCTACACCAGCAAGATCTGAACATCCCAATAAAGATGAAGCAGAAGAGAATGACCTTAAAAACAAATTCATGAAAGTGATAGAGGCCCTCAAAGAGGAAATGAGAAAATCCTTTAAAGAAATGGAAGAAAGCCTGATGGTGGTGGCACTCACCATTAATCCCCTCACTCAGAAGGCAGAGACAGGCAGATCTCTGTGAGTTTGAGACCAGGCTGGTCTACAAGAGTTAGTTCCAGGACAGTGTCCAAAGCCACAGAGAAACCCTGTCTCAAAAACCAAAGAAAAAAGAAATCAAGAAAAAACAAACAAAAAAATTGGAATAGAGGAAAAGACTAACAAAAATGAAAGAAATCAACAAATCTGAATCTAAAATGGCTGAAAGACACTAAAGAAAGTGCTCAAATTCCTTACCATTGGGGAAATGCAAATCAAAACAACTCTGAGAAATCATCTTACACCTGTCAGAATGGCTCAAATAAAAAACACCAATGACAGTTTATGTTGGGGAGGATGTGGAGAAAGGGAAACATATCTTTTGTGCTGGTGAGAGTGCAAATGTACAGCCACTTTGAAAATCAGTATGGTGGTTTCTCTGGAAAATGGGAACCAGTCTACCTTAAGATTCAGCAATTTCACTCTTAAGTATATACCCAAAGGATGCACATTCATACAACAAGGACATCTGTTCAAGTATGTTCATGGCAGCATTATTTGTAATAGCCAAAACTTGGAAGCAAACTACATGGCCCTCAACAGAAGAATGGATAAAGGAAATGTTGTACATTTACACAATGGAGTACTACTCAGAGGGAAGAAACAAAGGAATCTTGAAATTCAGCAAAAGGATGAAATTATAAGAAAGCATCCTAAGTTAGGTAACCCAGTTAAGAATACAAACATGGTATGCACTCACTCTTATATGGATATTAGACATATTGCAAAGGATTAAAAGACTACAATTCACACCTTCAGAGATCTAGGAAACAAGGAGGATGGTATGAGACATACATGGTCTCTTGGTGAAGGGGAAAGGGACAAGATCTCCTGAGCAAATTGGGAGCATGGGGGGAGAGGGGAAAGAGGTAGGAGAGAGGAGGAAAAATGAAGGGGGAGGAAAACATGTGGGATCAGGAAGATTGAGTTGGGAGATGAATAGAGGACAAGCAAATATACACATCAATGGAGGGAGCAATTATACGGTGAAAGAGAAATCTTACAGAGGGAATTGTACAG